GCCTCTGACTTTCGTGAGAGGGACGGATCCGATGGTGACTGACCATTGGTTCCGACAAATCGACAAGATCTTAAGGGCTATGGAAATCACCTCCAATGCCACTAAGATAACGCTAGCTACATTCCAACTAGAGGGAGAATCCCAAACGTGGTGGGATTGGGTAAAGGACTCCAAGAACTTTGGGGAAATGACATGGGAAGAGTTTCGAGAGCTCTTCATGGGCAAATATTTTTCAGCATCTATCCGATATGCTAAGGCTCGGGAGTTCTTGAATTTGAGGTAAGGGACCATGACGGTATTGCAATTCGTGGCTAAGTTCACGGAATTAGCCCGTCTCACTGACGATTATGTGGCCACAAACATGGCCAAAGTGAGGAAGTTTGAGGATAGTCTGAAATTGTCCATCCGGGGCAAAATTGTGGGCCTCTGCCTACAAGACTTGGACTCGATGGTCGAGGCATCTATAGCCATTGAGATAGAAATAGATGACACACGAAACATCCCAGAAGCAAGTGTTAAAGACAAGAAGAAGGAGGGCCAATCTTTTTCTTCAAGTTCGGGGAAGAAGTAAAGGACTTCGACTCCAAAGGGCCGCGGCTATTAAGGCCAAGGCCAAGGTCAATCCTCTCAATGCGGGAGAAATCAGAGGTCTTCCTACCAGGCATGCCAAAGGACTTGCTATCATTGCAACTAACCGGGGCATATGAAACAGGATTGTCCTCGGCGACAGGGATCTCAGAGCTATGGAGCATCCCGGTCTCAGTCTTCGGTGGGGCATGTACAGACACACTTTGTTCTTCCCTACCCCACCATGGGCCAGGAAANATGTGGTGGGATTGGGTAAAGGACTCCAAGAACTTTGGGGAAATGACATGGGGAGAGTTTCGAGAGCTCTTCATGGGCAAATATTTTTCAGCATCTATCCGATATGCTAAGGCTCGGGAGTTCTTGAATTTGAGGTAAGGGACCATGACGGTATTGCAATTCGTGGCTAAGTTCACGGAATTAGCCCGTCTCACTGACGATTATGTGGCCACAAACATGGCCAAAGTGAGGAAGTTTGAGGATAGTCTGAAATTGTCCATCCGGGGCAAAATTGTGGGCCTCTGCCTACAAGACTTGGACTCGATGGTCGAGGCATCTATAGCCATTGAGATAGAAATAGATGACACACGAAACATCCCAGAAGCAAGTGTTAAAGACAAGAAGAAGGAGGGCCAATCTTTTTCTTCAAGTTCGGGGAAGAAGTAAAGGACTTCGACTCCAAAGGGCCGCGGCTATTAAGGCCAAGGCCAAGGTCAATCCTCTCAATGCGGGAGAAATCAGAGGTCTTCCTACCAGGCATGCCAAAGGACTTGCTATCATTGCAACTAACCGGGGCATATGAAACAGGATTGTCCTCGACGACAGGGATCTCAGAGCTATGGAGCATCCCGGTCTCAGTCTTCGGTGGGGCATGTACAGACACACTTTGTTCTTCCCTACCCCACCATGGGCCAGGAAAGTCAGTACCAGTCCCAGAGTGCTGGACAGGCCCCTACTACTTCACGAGCGGGGACTCCGCAATCAGGCCAGAGCATGGGTCGAGGTTGAGGACTGGGCTCACAAGCCGGGATGTCAAGGACGTGTCTATGCCATTATGCCTCAGACTGAGCCAGAAGATCAATCGGTTATTCAAGATACATTTCTACTCTCTCGCTTATGGGCAAGGGTATTATTTGACTCTGGTGCATCTCATTCTTTTATTGCTACATCATGTGTGAAAGATTTAAACTTAGAGGTTGAGACCTTAGAAGAGCCTTTGCATGTGAGTTCTTCAAAGGTACTTTATTCTCAATATTCGTTAGAGCTCAATATTCGTTACTCTTTCTTCAAGGGTACTTTATTCTCAGATCCTATGCTATATCACACTATTGTGGACAGCTCAGCATATCTTACATTTACTCACCCAAACATCTCCTATGTCATTCATTTTATTAATTAATTTGTTGTTTCACCTACCACTGTCCACTGGACTGTTGTCTTCGTTATCTTCATAGTACACTGCACCAAAGTCTATAATTTTCTTTTTCTTCCTTGAACTCCAGGCTTATTCAGTTAATAACTTGGTCGACAACTCTATGGATCATAAGTCCACCACTAACTTTTGTCTCTTTCTTGGTGATTCCTTTATTTCCTCACAGCAAAAAACAAACTGTAGTTGTTCATTCTTATGCTAAGATCGAGTATTATGCTATTGGTTCCACTACAATTGTTAAAGTTATAATGTTTACTTGCTCATTTTTGGCATTTCTATGTCTAATCCTATCCTAATGCGACAAGAAGATTGCAATTCAAATCACCCAAAATTCGGCGTTTCATGAGCGTACAAAACTTCTCGATATTAACTATCATTTTGTGCGACATAATCTTCAGTTGAACACTATCAATCTTCCATCCCTTTCCTTGACTATGTAGTTGGCAGATTTTGTTAAGAAATCTCCCACCATATGTCCTTCCATCTTCTTAGTAAACTCCTAATATTTTTTGCTACCATACTATGTGTTTAAGTGGGGGGTGTTAGAAGAAGCTAATATTAGGAGTAGTTTAGTCCTTTTCCATTATTGTTTTGCTTTATTATAAAAGATTTCTATTCTGCATCTTTTATCATTATGTTAATAAGCAAACTAATGGAGCCATAATAATATTTTTTCTCTCTTTCTTTTCCTTCTCTCTTTTATCAAAGTTTACGATGACAACAATCTTTCAAGTCGGCCTTGCACTATATAGATTGAATTTCATATAAAACTGGTGTCTTATACCTGGATCATTATTTCTATTCTGCATCTTTTATCATTATCAATACGCAGACTAATGGAGCCATAATAATATTTTCTCTCTTTCTTTTCCTTCTCTCTTTTATCATAGTTTACAATGACAGCAATCTTTCAAGTCGGCCTTGCACTATATAGATTGAATTTCATATAAAACTGGTGTCTTAAACCTGGATCGGTTGAAAATTGCATATGAGCATTTGCCTTAAACCAAGATCTCGAGAGCATCGCTTGTACAAATTCTAGGTGATGCTAGCTTATATCTGCTTTCCAAATGAACAAGACAGAATGTGCAAAAATATCATATCGGAAGGATATCTTTAGAAGTCCCTAGGATACCCCTACAAGCTTTACTTGAACATGTATGCATAGTTGTTAAATCGAGATTCGTATCGTAAATCGGAATCTTAAATCTATGAATCGAATCGTGAATCGTAAGATTCGACACAAAATTCAAACAAAGATTAAAAAAAATAACATCTATATAGTTAAAATAGGCAAGGCATTGAATTTTGAGCACTATCGCATTGTAAAAATAATCAATTGACATAATCACGTCGTTTAAATAGAAAGACGCTAACAGAAAATGTGGGTTCGAGTCTCACCGTGATTGATTTTTATATATTATTTGCAATTTGCAAGCCAACTAGAATATAAAATAAAGCATCTATCAAGAGAATATGTATCTATCATTATAACTATACTTCAATCAAAAGTCAAGTTATGGACCTATGGTCCCAAAAAATGAGAGGTGCATTGAATGACCAAAAAAAATCAAGTTCTAATACTCATCAAAAAAATAGAAGTAGTCAATTTCTTCAATCATCATCATCTCCAAGGTCAAGATCTTCATCATCATCATCATCGTCGTCGTCGTCGTCGTCTTCTACTTCAACCATCTTCTTTTACAACAACGAAAAAATCCTCTATCTACAGCCCACAATAACGAAAAAATCCTCAAAGAAACAACAACAAAAAAAAACAGAGCATCGCTAATTAAAAAAACAGTGCAATAGAATAGAGTGTCATTTGAAGTTTGAAACCCACTGTTATATAGTTATAACTAAATAATCCTCTATTAACAGGCCACAACAACAGAAAAAAAAAATACGAAATAAGAAATTGAAGTACAACAATGAAAAAACAGAGCATTGCTAATGTGAAAACCAGAGCATCATTTGAAGTTTCAAACCCACATTCATATTGTTTATCTACAGAAACCCACATTCATAACTGCAAAATCCTCCACCCAAAGGCCACAGCAACAAAAAAAAACAAAAACTAAAAAACTACAATAATAAAAAAAACAGAGCATAGCTTATGTAAAAATAGAGCAATATTTGAACAAGATTGATGACCTACTGCTACTGTTTGGTTACGGGTAAGAAGAAGAAGAGAAAAAGAAGAAGAAGAAGAAGAAGAAGAAGAGGAAGAGATGTACCTGAAGGATGAAGCTTCAGCCGTGATTGTGGTGGGTCTCCTTCAACAGACAACGTGAGAGGCAAAGCGAGAAAGAGACAAGAGGGAATAGTTATTTATTAGGGCCTGGGTCTTGCAAAAACGGCGTCATTTGACTGCAGAAGCAGTCAAAACGATGTCGTTTTGACATATAAATGGGTTTAAAAAAAAATTTAACGAATCCAAAGATTCGTACGATTCGGTTCGGTTCGTGCGATTTGGCTCTGATTCCAGACCCAAAACGATTCAACCATAAGATTTGACTCGGTCTGCCCATGAATCGAACTGAATCGTACGATTCAACTCGCGAATCGGACGATTTTAACAACTATGCTTGTATGTGAATTGTTGTTGGCTATCCTCCTGTTTGCTTAAACTAGCTTAATTTTTCTTGTCCTCATGTATTCAACTTGGGAAACTTTTATACATAACGTGTTTTCATAATCAACATCAAAAACAAAATAATTGACGTTTAGTACTGTAGAAAAATGTTCGCAATCAATAGTCTTCAACTTTGTCTTACCTTGTTTCATTGTACTTCTCCAATGAACTATACCAACAAAATTTACTCTTTATCTAACTAAGCGACAACGTAGAAGAAAAATGACCCTACAGAGACTTAGGATGGAAATGAAATGACAACTGCAAAAAGGTCTCCTATGCTCATTGGTACAGAGAAATTTAAAAAACAAGTGTGAGCGAATCATAATGATTTTTATTGCATAGCCACTATTCTCCCATGCCTCCCATCTATGAGAATAAATTTAGACAGAAAAATGACAGTATACTAAATTAATATATATAAAAGTTCTGCAAAAAAAAATGGTTAAACACGAAAATAGGACAAATGCCAGCAGCTGTACAATCCTCACTCCTGGGATATCTTTAGCCATAGATAATATTGGAGAAGTAATCCCAATATTAGAGGCATATATAACTCAAACCATGACACTAAACATAACACATATGGACAAGAGTATGCTTACAACGGTTGAGAGTTGTTCATTGATGTAGGTCATTGATCTCAACATAGCCTCGAGTGAGTCTCTAGTGAGCTGAAACTTCACCTTGATTTCCCCTAAAGGGGACTTGGTATAATCTTGCAGCTACAAGGAATCAAAGCAAAGAAAACAACATTAAGGGTATGAGAATGTGAGCATTACCCAAAGATGAGAATATAAGCACTCCATGGAAAGAGGAACCCTGTGAATCAATTTTTAGTAAAAATGTATGTTCGAAATTGCACACAAGTGCACACTGATGATATATTGCCCTCATCTTATATAACTGATACAACAAAGCTTCACCAAGCTTTACAAGAATCTGTGGCAGAAGAAAATACAGGAAGGTCACTAACAATACACTCGAGCTAAGAGACCATTCAAAATTATCCTCCATTTCATTGAGCACTTTCCACTTCTCTCTTGCAGTCAGTGCCACATAACCCACTAACCAGTATGTAAGAAATCTTTCATAACAAATGCCTAAAGGATAGTAGAAACAAAAGGTGCCATAATTTATGCCCATTGAGAAACTAACACAAACAAAGGCAGCAAATCTGTACGTGCCAATTAAAAAAATGTGCTTCCACTTTCTCTTGAGTCTTGACCTTCATACCTTAAGACAAATGACTGCCACCCTAGAAGTCGCTCTCATGTTCTGATTCTCCACGGTCCAAGTCATTGACTTCAGGCGGGGAAGAATTCCCTGTATCAATGGAAACGCATTAAGACAAAGCTAAAGAAATAAAATTACTAGGAGAGTTTTTGTCTTATCACTGCCTCAAAATCAAGGTCTGAGCCCCAGCCAAAGTAAGCTCATAACTGCTTGAGTTATCTAAACAACAAGAACATAAGCTGGCTAATATAAAAAACAGAGACTACTTTAGGCTCTTAGCTCCATCAATCTGCTCAGATTTGTAAGCCATAATGAAGCATGTGAACTGTGTTTGAATGCGAGAGAATGCAATAACATACTACTGGACTTAAGTACTGTGCAGTGATTGANTGAAAAACAGAGACTACTTTAGGCTCTTAGCTCCATCAATCTGCTCAGATTTGTAAGCCATAATGAAGCATGTGAACTGTGTTCGAATGCGAGAGAATGCAATAACATACTACTGGACTTAAGTACTGTGCAGTGATTGAATGACACATCAGTGGCACTAGTCCCAAATCAGACGAGCAAAGAGGGTGATGTGCCCCCTAAAAAGCGACAGAACTTAATGATAAAAAGTATTATGCCCAAAGTCAAGTAAATATCATTTGGCCTCAAATATGAGGCTTCTTTGTCTTCTGGTTCAAAAAAGGCGATCTAAAGCTCATATGGCCTCACTCAAACAGAATTTAATGATAGAGAAAGTATTATGCCCAAAGTCAAGTAAATATTGTTTGGCCTAAAATATATGGCTTCTTCGTTTTCTAGTTCAAAAATGGCAATCTAAAGCTCATATGGCCTCGCTCAAAGTTTTCATTGAATCTCATAGCCAGCTTGGAAGCACAAAATGTATGAAGAAAGAAATGCAAGAAAATGAATTCAGATATTACATGGCTTAAGTGCTAACTACAGTGTCATTTTCTATTGCATAGGAGGTCTTCACAAAAATAAGTCCCAATACCACACAAGGGCGACCTCATCTATGCATTTATGAGTCCTCATCTATGCATTTATGAGTATTATACATCTGGAGTAATCAATATGACATTACTCATGCTGATGAAGATATCACAACTTCAGCACAGACCATGATACAGTAAGCATATTTTTTTCAAGATAAAATTACTTTTAAACCTTCCCTTAAAATATGCAAATGACAACAACTGTGCAATGACTTTGGTGAAATAGAAATGGTAAATATCATAAACACCCCTTGAACTATGTTTCTCGTATCAATATCTCCCCCCTCAAATTCAATGTCTCAATTTTAGGCTTATATCTTGAAAATCGTAACAATCAGCCTCTTCGTCCAATTAGTCATTTAAAACAAGCGGAGAAGCCTACACGTGATGCTCATGTGAGCTTTAGTTGGGATATTATATGAAATCAAAATCTCCCCTCTTCTACATTCTGCGCGTGCACTCACACACCGCTCTCTCTTTAACTCTCTCTTCTCCCTTCTACACATACATGCACGTCTTCCTCTCTCTCTCTCTCATACACACACCAACATCACAAACACTTCAAAATCAATCAAATAATTAAAATTTCCCCTCCAAATAAGTTCTTCCTACATCAACCTCCAATTTTTTAACGAAGCCGCAAATTGAACAGCTACGTAAAATATCCTATTCATTTCTTTAAATTCTATTTGATACGAAATATGATATCAATTGACCACCCACTTTACTGACAATTATAAGTGAAAATCCACTAATCTCCATGGTTCGAGGTCGTGCTATTGGCCAACGACTCAGAAGGCACCAATACAAATGGGTCGTGGTTATGTATCAGCTAATACGCAAAAATCATCCATGCATCTTATGTTCAAAATACATCCTCTAACACATTAAATATGGTCAAAAAGAAAGATAAGGGCGCTACCGAAAATCGTTAAGCGATAAATGTGTTACTAATTTACTATAATTATTTAGAACATATTAGGATCTAATTTTAAAGGTTTTTTGAATTCAAAATAACAAAAAAAAAATATTGTGAATAAATTAAATTTTAAATTTAAATATAATGTAATTTCAATATCTAAATTTAAAGATTTAAAATTTTTAAAAATATAAGCAGACGATTAATCATTATAATAGAAAAATAATATAGTAATAAACATGTGGAACTTATGATTTTTTTTTAGTCGTGGTATTTATGATAGGATAGGATTCTAGAATACTCCATTTAAGAGTAAGGCAAAGAGAGAAAACGAAAGACAGAGACTCAGAGACAGAAATCGAGAAAGAGAGACGACGAGAGACAGACAGCGAGAGATAACGAGAGACAGGAGAGAGAAGATGAGAGATGAGATAGAGAATCTTGGGCAATTTCAATTGAAGAAAAAAGTTGTTTACTGCAACTATAGGCTTTGTAGTGACTTCGTCAAAGAGAAAAAGAGAAAGGAGGAGGGGGAAAGGGACTCTCCACTTCGCAGCTCCCAAGTTTTCTTAAAATCTTCTCAATTTCTTCTTCTCTGGGAAGGATTGAAAAAATGGGTGTAATTTAGGGTTACATACTTTCTTATTTCTTTGGGTCTCTTCTTTCTTTCTCCTTCTTTGTTTTTCTTTTTTAGGCCAGAGTGATGACTGTCTGAGAAGTTACAGAGGTAGCTTGATTCGGTGTTGACTCAGCCAAGTTGGTCCAATTTGGGTCAAGTTGGTCTGAGTTGAGTCGATACAGCCGAGTTATAACCCAGTCAATACCAATTCTGCTCTGTCTCGTTATATTTGTATATCGTGTATCGTTATCGAATCAAAGGTGGCTGACACGGACACGACTCAGCCAAGACATATCNATAAGCGGAGAAGCCTACACGTGATGCTCTCTCTCTCTCTCATACACACACCAACATCACAAACACTTCAAAATCAATCAAATAATTAAAATTTCCCCTCCAAATAAGTTCTTCCTACATCAACCTCCAATTTTTTAACGAAGCCGCAAATTGAACAGCTACGTAAAATATCCTATTCATTTCTTTAAATTCTATTTGATACGAAATATGATATCAATTGACCACCCACTTTACTGACAATTATAAGTGAAAATCCACAAATCTCCATGGTTCGAGGTCGTGCTATTGGCCAACGACTCAGAAGGCACCAATACAAATGGGTCGTGGTTATGTATCAGCTAATACGCAAAATTTCTATATAAAACGTCCAAAAAATTCTTAAAATTTTTTTTTAAAATTCTAAAAAATAAAAAATAACAACATCCATGCATCTTATGTTCAAAATACATCCTCTAACACATTAAATATGGTCAAAAAGAAAGATAAGGGCGCTACCGAAAATCGTTAAGCGATAAATGTGTTACTAATTTACTATAATTATTTAGAACATATTAGGATCTAATTTTAAAGGTTTTTTGAATTCAAAATAACAAAAAAAAAATATTGTGAATAAATTAAATTTTAAATTTAAATATAATGTAATTTCAATATCTAAATTTAAAGATTTAAAATTTTTAAAAATATAAGCAGACGATTAATCATTATAATAGAAAAATAATATAGTAATAAACATGTGGAACTTATGATTTTTTTTTAGTCGTGGTATTTATGATAGGATAGGATTCTAGAATACTCCATTTAAGAGTAAGGCAAAGAGAGAAAACGAAAGACAGAGACTCAGAGACAGAAATCGAGAAAGAGAGACGACGAGAGACAGACAGCGAGTGATAACGAGAGACAGGAGAGAGAAGATGAGAGATGAGATAGAGAATCTTGGGCAATTTCAATTGAAGAAAAAAGTTGTTTACTGCAACTATAGGCTTTGTAGTGACTTCGTCAAAGAGAAAAAGAGAAAGGAGGAGGGGGAAAGGGACTCTCCACTTCGCAGCTCCCAAGTTTTCTTAAAATCTTCTCAATTTCTTCTTCTCTGGGAAGGATTGAAAAAATGGGTGTAATTTAGGGTTACATACTTTCTTATTTCTTTGGGTCTCTTCTTTCTTTCTCCTTCTTTGTTTTTCTTTTTTAGGCCAGAGTGATGACTGTCTGAGAAGTTACAGAGGTAGCTTGATTCGGTGTTGACTCAGCCAAGTTGGTCCAATTTGGGTCAAGTTGGTCTGAGTTGAGTCGATACAGCCGAGTTATAACCCAGTCAATACCAATTCTGCTCTGTCTCGTTATATTTGTATATCGTGTATCGTTATCGAATCAAAGGTGGCTGACACGGACACGACTCAGCCAAGACATATCGGAATCAACCGATACTTTGACCCTTGTTTCCCGCCAGTTCAGCAGCCTTTTCAACAAACTTTTCCAATTGGTTCATCATATTTTAGCAACCTTAAGGTTGGTTCAGCAAATTTTCTCAGCTCCAGGGTGTGTTATTGTCTATCGATTCATTATTGGTACCTTTGCCCTCAAGTTGTCAACTGCTCCNTCAGCAGCCTTAAGGTTGGTTCAGTAAATTTTCTCAGCTCCAAGGTGTGTTATTGTCTATCGATTCATTATTGGTACCTTTGCCCTCAAGTTGTCAACTNTTAGCAACCTTAAGGTTGGTTCAGCAAATTTTCTCAGCTCCAGGGTGTGTTATTGTCTATCGATTCATTATTGGTACCTTTGCCCTCAAGTTGTCAACTGCTCCTCTAACCTCTGGTAATGCTTCTAGTAATGCTTCCATGATTTTTGTACCTCCATCAAATCTCTACACTACATATTTTCTTAATACTCTTATGACCTTTGTCAAATTAAACGGGAGTAATTATGTATTGTGGTGAGATCTGTCGATATTTTTCTTAAGGGTAGAGGACGTCATAAGCACCTGGTGGAAGCTAAACCTAAAAACAATGATTTTGGTGGAACAGGAAGATGCACAGATTATTTCACTTTTATTGACTAGCATTAAGCCTCACATAAGTTCCTTACTTTATCTAGATACTATCAAGGATATTTGGGATCGGTTGACTCACATGTACTCTGGTACTAGTAATATCACACGCATTTATGAGGTATGCTGGTAGTACTTTAGACTCGAAGAGGGTAACTAGACTATGGAGGAGTATTTTTCTAAGGTATGGACATATGAAGAACGTAAGTTGTATCAAACTATCACCTATGATGTCTCTAAGATGGAAAAACAAAGTGATGTTGATGTTGTCCATTTTCTGAGTGGGTTATCAGTGTATGAGCTTATTCATGCCCAGATTTTGGGCACCCCTCAGCTTCCTCCTCTTTCCGATGTGTTCTCTCGTCTTCAACATGCTATCATGTCTGATTCTAGATCTCTGTCAAGTACTAATCCTATTAGTGATCAATCAGCTTTAGTTGTCTCTCAGCATGGCTATGGGGGTTCTCTTGGAGAACGTAGTGGAAGAGGAGGTCGTAGCATGCGTGATGGATCTAGTAGTTTTCGCGGAGGACATGGTGGTCAAGGAAGCAGGGACCCTCACAAATGCAATCATTGTGGTCGTAACAACCACGTAGTGGAGTATTGTTGGGATTTACATGGTAAACCCCCCGTTTTGACTCATCAGGCATCTTCTCAGGATGATGTTCCATCATTTGGCCCTCATCAACCTATTACTGATGACCTTATACCACTATCTCCCGAGATGAGTATGTTTAGTTCCTATCATATGATCAGAGGCCCCAGAGTCAATGACCCATGGAGATGAGATAGACAAATGGAAAATCAAACATGTTTTAACTAACTGAGACAACATAGTTATGGAAGTAGAAGTAGGAGCACCAAACTTAGAAACAATGCGATTATACTCCTTGGATAGAGACAATATCTCCGATGCGGATGTAGGCTCAATGATAGCCCACTGTCCAAACTCAAATCCTATGATAAAGACACAACATGAGCATAAGAGGAGGGTTTTCTATGAAGATCCCAACAATAGTCCACTGTATGACCTTTAATTCCACAATAAGTACATAACTTCATAGACCCCCAACCTCAAACACCTCAGTTGTCCATTGGTCAACGACCACCTCCTCATCACCCACCACGATTTCCTCTATCCCATGAGGGAAATGGTTACTCCCTCGAATAAGCAAGACAATAGAAGTCAAGCGGTCAGGTACAGAAACCCTACTATCACTTAAGGAAGCCAGTTAAATACAAGAAAAAACTTATGGCATCAAAGGAATTCCTTACTAGCTAAAATCTAAGCACANTTGAATAAGCAGGACAATAGAAGTCAAGCGGTCAGGTACAGAAACCCTACTATCACTTAAGGAAGCCAGTTAAACACAAGAAAAAACTTATGGCATCAAAGGAATTCCTTACTAGCTAAAATCTAAGCACAAACGGGTTCCAATTCTGATTTTAAACCTGAGAGGAAACGAGAAACCATTAATTCCTCACGCTGCTTTTTCTAGACTTGCAAATCAGTAGAAAATGGCTGATAGGCATTAAGATTATTCATAATATTTTGTAGGATAGAGTAGTATTCTTCAATGTTTTTATCACCTTGTTCCAGTCTAAACAAATCTTGAAATAACTAATAAATGCGGGTAATGTTATCTTCTCCAAAAAACAAACGACTAACCACAACTCATAGCTCCTTAGTAGTGCCCAGAGACATGAGATGAATACTAATCTGAGGCTCCATACTATTCCATAACAAGGTAATAACTTGAGCATGGGCATTCTCTACTTGCTACTGTTTAAGCTTTGAATCAGATTCACTTGGCTTATCTTTGGTAAATAGTCAACTTTATTTTTCGCAATCAAAAACACTTCAACAGAACGAGACCAAGGGACATAGTTATTGTCATTCAACTTAATAGAGATAATAGATAGACCAATAAAATCTTGACTTACTGCAGACCCAACAACACTGGAAGTAGACTTGTCATCGGCCATAATATGAACCAAATCAGCGGAACCAAACAGAAACACAAGCAAAAAACACACACCGAAGCACACGCAGTCAAGCAGAAGCACACGCAGCCAAGCAAGCAATGAGAGATCCAAGAAGAAACAACAAAGTAGAAACAAAGCCCACAGCAGAACCACACAAGCAGTAGACCCAATCAGAAATTGGAAAAACTACAACTTATCTGGACAGAAGGTTGATGCAAGCGGAACCAGTATAGAATGACTCGGAACTGGCTTGAGATGGACTGAACCGGAGAAAAAAAATCCTAAAAGGCGGTGAATCGGTCTGGGAAGGACTAAACTGGACCGTTTTAAGTGTGAACTGGTCTGCACAAGGTCTTAACTGGTTTGAAGATGTTGAACCAGTCTGGGCTGGAGTTAGACCAAATCAGCAGTTGGGCTTGAATCTAGTTAGGCTGGACTTGAATTGGGCTTCTGAAGATGTTGGGCTTCTGATAGAAATATAAGTCTTTGGGCTTTCTAAAATAATTGGCCAGACCCGAAAAAAATCCGATTAACCCGAACGTGAAAGACTTGGGAACCTTTCTTCAACCTCCAGAACCCATTATTTCTAAACTCTAATCTGCAACAGAAGCCACCTAACAGTAATGAAAGAACCCTAACCTGCAATAGCAGCCACCCAACAGCAACGACAATCATTCGATCACGACAACTATCGAGCAATCAGTAACTCTTGAGCCTCAATGATTCATTCGACTATCGATTTATTTTGATCACCACATCAACAACTCTTGGGCCTCTGTGATTATTCAACAATTAATTTATTTCAATCACCAACATCAACAGTTCTAGTGGTCGGCAAACACCGATTCCACGTTGACAACACACAACGACTCAACAATGGTTGGCAAATAGTGATTCCACTTTGACAACACAGCGATGAACAATAATTGGCTCTAATACCATGTAACAGCATCGTCAAAGGGAGAGAGAGAGATATATAGAGACGTGAGAGAATAGGAAAATAGAACTCATCACTATTCCATTAACTAAAAGAGATATATATAGTTATATTTATGGAATATGATAATGACTATATTATCCCTCAGTCACTAACAACGCTCATTCAGCGCATCTTTTTCTCTATATTTGCACAAAAGTTAATACCTATTTAACCCCTAAACTATACCATTTGTGTCAATCAAGCCCCTGAACTATAATTTGTGTCAATTTAGCCCCTGAATTATGTGAGCTGATTCTATGTGGCTCTTTCGTCCAAATTCGTCATTAGCATTGACGGAAACACTCATGTGCACATCACACAGCCCCTAAACTATAACATAATTCCTGACTCACGTGATGTGAACATAATGATTTCTACCAAAATTAACAACTAATTTTGACGGAAGAGCCACATTGAGTCAGATTGCATAGTCTATAGGCTAAATTGANTCCTGACTCACGTGATGTGAACATAATGATTTCTATCAAAATTAACAACAAATTTTGACGGAAGAGCCACATTGAGTCAGATTGCATAGTCTATAGGCTAAATTGACACAACATAGTTTAGGGGCATGATTGACACAATCGATATAGTTCAAATGCCAAATAGGTAGTTAACTCTTTGCATAATGTTCTTTCTGTGAACCTTTTTCTACGCATTTACACGAATTGCATACTATGCATTCTTTTTTTGGGTGTTTTTGCACGGTGTGTTATTACAATCCTCTCCCAATTTGTCAAGGGGAGCTTTATCTACAAAGTCAAATACAACAGCAACTTGAGCAAACCCACATCCCCGACAACTTCAGCCAAGTCCCATTGCAAACAAATTCAACAACACAACATTCTCAACAACTTCGATAATATTGCAGCCCCAATGACAATACTTGACTCATCTATTGGTTATGTCAAATCAACTCTCTAGTGTGTCTACTCGAAAAAGAATGTTAAAGATCCCATAATCAATAGGTCAACATAACTAAATCACATGATTCAAGAAAATGATTAATATGATTAAGGGTTAATTACAAAATGTCCCCTTCAACTTATGGTCATGTTGCAATTAAATCCTTTACGTTTTAATTTGGACAATTTTCCTGCTTGTATTTTGAACATTGTCTTAATTACCCATGTTGTTAACTCTCCACCATCAAAACTTACACAAATACCAACAATTTATTAGAAATCCACATAAAAATATGCCCTCTAATCTCTATTCTTAAAAAGAAATAAAACATTGTAGAAATATCCCATCCCCACCCTCAAAGGCTCAGCCAACACATCCCCACCCAACCAACTCCTCGCCTATCCTTTATTAACCTACAACCCCGTCCCTCAACCCCTCCTGACCAGTAGCCCACCAACATCAGCCCCATACCCAAAAACCATCTTGCTCACTGACAACCCTACCTCCCATACATTAGTGACCATGAATACACACAAAAAAACACACTCTCTTATTACCCAAAATTTATTCGAGGTCTTGATGGAATTTGAAATCTATTGGGGGTTGGGTATCGAACCAATTGAATAGGAGCTTTGGCATTGGTTGTGGCGCTCCATCTACAGTAGGGACAATGCTAGGTAGTGGTTGGTGTATTTGTGGCAGGCTTGTTCTTTTCACATTTTTTATTTTTTATTCGGTGGTTTGGTGGCAGGTGATGGTTGGTAGTGATTGCGACAGTGACTAGGGCATTATTTGTCAGATTAGGTTTTTAGAGGTGGCCATGATGGGTGTCACTATTACCACCAGGCATCGTTGGGTCGCACTGACATCAGTTCCGACTCAATGAATCTGTGAACTTCTCTCATTGTCGTCGATTCAT